ATTACAGGTCTTATTAAGTTCAAGTCTGCTACTGTCTGTATAGCATTGTTTCTGCTTGGGGGTTTCCTGGCTGAAATTTTTTCATTGCAATCCTTTTGTCATACCAAAAAACCAAAACTACTTCAAAACAAACCTTTTTAAATGTAGATTTACCAATGCTGATTTATACCAAACTGGGTACCACTCTGAATTTATCCCCTTCAAAGTCAGCCCTTCTGTTTACAGGAACCATATTCTTTGCAGGTGCTTTAAAATGATTATTGAATTCAAATTAAACATCTCCAGGTTCCCTCTTTCAGCTCCCAGTGTAATTTGAGATCAGATTAGCAAATCAAATTCTTTCCTTTCAGGAAAATAGATTTCAAAGGGTTCCGAAGAAAGATAGGTAGGAACTGGGGGGGGGGGAAGAAGGGAGTAAAATGCTTCAGGGAAAGTCAGTCCAGAGGGCATGGGAGATACACAAGAATGAAGTTCTGAATACATAAAAGGAAACAATTCCAGTGTGGAGGGAGAAATACAGTATTTGTCTGAAAAGGCTAAGGTGGATGACTAAGAAACTCACCTTTAAGTACATATAGCAAGGCATCCTGAAGGATCATGGGCCAGACACGTTAAACCACCACCATGACCACCTTCTTCACTATCTTCCCTCTGACCCTGATGTAGACAACCCAGGGCTCTGAACTTTAGACTCTGGAATAGCCAAACTTCCGTCCCATTGCCTACAGCTATCATTCTGGGCAGCAACCCCCAAGGAAATCCAATCTGGCAACTGCTGCTTTGGGGCTGCAGCCACATCTACAGAAGAACCAGAAAAGAAAGCTCTTGCCTCTAGAGACCTTGGCATTGTCAAATGCATCAATGTCTGAAACTGATATAGGATTTTATCAATGGAAATGACAGTAAAGAAGAGGCTTTACCAAATGCTTTGCTACTTCCCCCTAAGCCGTCTCAAAGAGCCATAGTCAAATCTTCAGCATGGCTAGAAATCAAGGTTTGACTTGTTGTTTTGTTGATTGTCTAGACTTAAGAAAGTGATGGAGAAAATGTTGATAATGCAGATTAAACTTAAAAGTGAGTCCCAGTACTTTTTTAAAGAGCTGGTTGTTAAACATTCACCAATATATACCTGCTTTCCATCTGACTTGATGAAACCTTCCATACGCACGCACACACACACACACACATATGTGTGTGTATATATACATATACATAAATACACACACACACACACATACAGTCTCCTCCTTTGCAATGTAAGGTCATTGAGAGCTGGGATTGTCTTACTTTTCTCTCTGTATTTCTAATACTTAGCACCCTAATTTGCATGTAGTGAGAGCCTAATAAATGTTTTATTCATTCTCTCTCATACACAAGGAGTCCCAATTGCTCTTAAACTTTTGGGACACTGTTTGTGAGTATGTGTGTAAGATGGAGCCTAAGTCCGGCAATAGAAGATGAATACAAGAATATGTCCCAATCCTATAAAAAGAGTGTGAAGAGTGCTAAAGCTCAGAATTGAAAGTTGGTGAATGAAGTTGAGGCAAAAAAAAAGGGGGGGGTGTTTTTGTTTGCTTGCTGGCTTTTAGGCTGCAATGGCAGAAAACAGCTCAAAGAAAAAAATTGGAGCTTTACTCAAGGTGGATGGGACAAGGATAACTAAGAACGGAAGGAAGAGCTGCTCTATTTTTATTTCTATCTGTTTTCCCTTCAAAGGAAAATGACTTTTATCGTGGGAATGCCAGAACAAAAATGATTTTCAGGGAATTGATGCTCAAGATAAATAGACAGCAAGAGAGCACCTGGCTGCCTCTGATGAACTCAAGTCCTGAAAGAACCAGCAGATGTGATTGCTGTTAGTGACATTTGAAATGTCATGGAAAAAACAGAAGTGCCGTAAGATTGGAGGAAGTCAAATGTTTTGTTTTTCAAAAGAGAGAAGAACATAATCTACAGATTCTAGGCCAGTAAGTTTGATTTTGATTTCTGGGAAAATTCTAGAATGTATTATTACATAGATGGTTAGGTTTTGAGAATATGTCAGTCATACTATCCTCACGGAAAAGATGGAGAGGTATGATTAGACAACAATACAGTTAGATCACTTTCAAACTGGTTAGATGGCTGGACTCAAAGGGTATTTGTTAATGGTTTTATGTCAGCTTGGTAAGTGGTCAACAGTGCAGTAATCCAGAGATCTGTGTTTGAGCCTGGAATATTTAATGTTATTATAAATGACTTCAATAAAGGCAAGTTTGCTGATGATAACATTGAATGACTAATAGGATCTTGAGAGGTTAGCACTGGGCTTGATCTAATAAGACAAAATGTAATAGGAGCACATGTAAAGTCTTGCACTTGGGTACAAAACAAATGTGAAGCATTATATTTGGTACAAAAAAAATTCTGCTTTGCAAGTATAAGAAGAGGGAGTCATGGATAGATAGCAGTTGTCCTGAAAAAGATTTGGGAGTTCTAATGGGTTGCAAATCAGTAAGAGTCAACAGGATGACAGCAAAAAAAAATGAGATTTTGGCCTGCATTAAGAGGAACATAGCTTCCAGGGATAGAGAGGTGGCAATCTTACTACACTCTGGCCTCTTCTTGCTTCATTTGGAGTACTGTGTTCAGTTCTGAATACCACAGTTTAAGACAGGCATTGCTAGACAGCATCCAGAGGAAAGCAACCAGGATGGTGAAAGGCCTCCAGTCCTTGTCATATGAAGCTCGGTTGAAGGAACTGAACATGTTTAACCTTGAAAAGACTGACAGGGGACATGCTAGCTTTCTTCAAGTATTAAAGACTGTCCCATGGGGGAGGAGCTAGACTTTGGCCCCAGAGGGAAGTAGCAGGAATGATAGGTAGAAACTGCAAAGAGGCCAGATTGGTGTGGATGTCAAGAAGAACTAACAGAGCTATTCAAAGTTGCAGTGGATTTCCTCCCGAGCTGGAGATTTCCCTGTCTCAGAGGTCTTTAAGCAGAAGCTGGATGACACTTTTTGGCTAAGTCATCACATGTTCATGCTTTGGATTGGGTGGCCACTGAAATCCCCCCCAACTTTCAAAGTCTGTGAGTCTCTGAACAGAAGTGTCTCTCTGCTAATTAGGATTGGCTTGCCCATGAGATCATTATGAAATGCCTCTTTCTGGTGAAATGTTTGGCTCTCATGATTGTTTCTATATTTTATACTTATGCTATAATTTCCCTAACCTTACATAGCATCCATGAGAACAGATAGAATGTGCACAGCACTCAGACAGCAAATACCTGAAGATATCATCATGAGTCTCCCAATTTGGACAGGGTTGGGTCACTATGTGGGACAGCTGTCATACTGGAAGGAATATGAAGTATTCCAATGAGCTAACTCCTCAGACCAGAATGAATGCTTGCCTCTGCTAGTGAGGGATTGTTATGTGCATTTTATATGGACAGCTGTGAGGAATGAATCTCAAACATCACCTTTTGTCAACGTGGAGTGTGGAAATGGAATGTTGACTGGCAGCAGCAGCAAGTGTTAGATCTGATGCTTGTAAGAAGAACAACCCTGACCCAGCTGCTCTTGAACTCTGACTTGGTAATAAGGAAGGGGATGCGATTCAATTAGCCCAAAAGAAAAAGAAAAGTATCTATATGTGGTGTAAAAAGAAGAGACGACTTTGTAAAGGACCAGTCTTTTCTCTGAGAAGGAAAAATGACCTTTAGACTGGAGAATAACAGCACAAAAATGACTAACAGGCAGCTGATACCCAAGATAAATAAGGAGATAAAAGAGAACACCTCACTGCCCTGGATGAATTCAAGTCACCTGGCTCAGTCCTAAAAGACCTGGCCAATGTGATTGCTGAACCCCTATCAGTGATATTTGACACATTTTTCTGTAAGGTTAACCACCCCCCCCACACACACTGTTTACATTATCTTTACTCCCTCAAAGGAACACATCTATTTCCAAATTACTTTTCTTAGCTATCACACATGGTAGGAATATGAATAGCCCCACAATTCAAATGGGACCTTCTGGAGGGACAGCAATTGTGATTGATAAAGAAATGGTCCTTAAATAAAGCCAGTTTCTCCTTTAAAGTGCAGTAACATTCTTGACTAAAATAATTTTTCCAACTTTGTGAATATCTTGAATAGAATCCAGCTTCCTGGGTCACTCTATTTAGGAAATAAACCTATTGTCACTTCAGTATGCTGCCTGATTTGGCATGTGCCTATGTTATTGCAATTTCTTCTTTCCCCTCCCCACTCAAATATTTCTTTGTTTTTAAACTCTCCCTTTCAACCTTCTGCAGATCACGTGAGGAGGCTATTTTTGTCCCCTATTCACATTCCAACTGTGAGCTGGTAAAACTGCATTTATTACACAAACATACATTTTCAGAGGGATTTTCGTTTTCAACTTCATTTTTCTCTGTGGATGGTATTATTTCTTTTCTCTGTATCCTTGTGGCTATGGTGACTGCTAAGTTGACCCTGGCAGTCTGGGGCAAAGACAGAACTTCAGTCAGGTGGTACTTGTTGGTCCAGATGCAAAGGATTGCACTTTCCAGGCCCCTGATGAGAGATTGAATGGATTTCTGTCCAGGATAGAGGCTTTAATTCCATTATGTCCACAAGAGTGTGCAGGTGCTACACTATTTCAGTGTTTTGAATGTCCTTTAAAAATCAGGTTTTAGTACTATGTAAACGTCGACTATAATTATTATTTTGGGATCAGACCTATAATTTGATTAGCAAAGGGAATAAAACCCTTGAGGACAAAAAAAAAAGTCAGGTTTTAGACTCGTCCAAGTCAGCGGTGCTTTCTCAAGTAAATTTCTTTGCCTCAAGACAGCGAGCGAAGCTAGGTAGAATTTTTCCCCCTTTCATTGGCTCATTTTTTTTTTATTGTCAAATCAAAGTGTTGTCTGAGGAAATATTGGCTAATCAAAAATTTAATTTATTCAGCCGCAAAGAAGCCCAAATGAAAATCACTAAGTGGGGAAGGGAGCCTGAGTACCTGGACACTCGGGGGTTAAAGCTCCGGATCTCCATTAAACGAGTCTTTGTCCTTACCTTCATTTTGATTGTTATCAAAGCGTGAGGTTTAGTTTTTCGAGAACTAAGCAACGATAGACCTGTTGCTGTTGCAAGATACAACCGACCCTCCTTACAACACCCAGTCTAGCAAATAACTTCTCCCCTGTGTCTGGGGTCCGGAACGCCCGTGAGGGGGCCCACATACCCACAGGAACAGCAGACATCGATTCGCCTCTTTTCTTTTTCTTTTTCCCCCACTTGGTTTATTTCCTTGTCCACCAGGGGTTTTGTGGCTGTCACTCAGACCAGCTGCCTATTGGCTGGTAGGAGGGCAGTAATGTGAACTGCCTTTTGCACTTGGCTCATCCGGGCAGTTGTTTGCTTGAAGGTTCAGTCCTGAGGTGCCTGGTGTTGTAAGTCACCTGTGCTTACTCATTCTCCCTGTCGGCCTCTGGTTTCCCAGTTTCCCAGGGCTGCAGGGCGTAACTAGTCCAAGGTCCCCAAACCCCCGGGTGCCCCCTCCATGTGTCTGACTCAGCCGGTGGTGTCAAGTTTCTCTGTCCAGCACGAGCTACGAGAATGAAAAGTCTCGGCTGCTTTGTCTTCCGTAGGCTTCCTTAAGGTAAGTCCATTTTTAAAGTAGCTATTTCACCGTGGCCTTAATTTCGACTTTTCTCGTGATAGAAAGAGTAAGCAGTCCTGAGGCAGCGGAGGCAGAGGGGCTGGAGAAGAGCTTGGCTCTCCGCACTTTTAATGAAAATCCCTGACTTTTTCGGACAATCGCTCTGTCACACTTAGAAAAGGAACACCTCAAGGTGTACGTATTTCAGGAAGGAGGAGTACGAAAACTCTATTAACCTTCAAAGGGGGCACTTACTGCAATCCCCTGTGATTAGAAGCGCAAAGAAAGCGTAAGGAACTTGTCTTTTAATTCATAGTGTCTAATCTGAGTCAGACATCAGATCTGTGCTAAGAATCTGAGCCTCTCTTTATAGACTATTGGTTGCATTTCCCGTTCATTTTGATCTTCTTTTCAAAGCGACATCTTGCCTTTCCTTTTCAGAAGCTTTTATGGGATGGAGCATTTTTAGGTGAATTTCAGTGTGAATTTCAATGCCGCGTGCACTGGGGGAGGAGGAAGGCGGTCACTTGGCTATTATTCTGTGTCATAGGAAGTTTGGATTCTGAATGCAGACACCTGAATTTCAGTTGCTGGCGAATGTTAAGTCAGGTTTCTGATTAAGCCTGCGCGCCACTCTGATTTCATTTCCTTGTGAGTAACTGACATACTGGACAAACCTACCCTCTCCTGCCTTTTTTCTTGGATTATTGTCTGCATGCTTGTAATTCTAGGATTCAGTAAAAGACCAAAGCTAATATTGATCTTTTATTGCCGCTCGTTTTGGAGTAATAGAAAAGAAAGGTTGTCTCAGAGATTTTAAAAAATGAAAACTTTATGTAAGCAGGTGCTAATCGCTGAACGACTCCATAGCAGCACTGAGGTGGAATATTCCCTTGTCCACTAGGTTGTTAACAAGGGCGCTCAATTTTCTGAAGTAAAGGCATTTCAACTATTTAAGTAACAAACAGGTCAGGGAAAAGCAGGTAGAGAGAGAGGGTGCCAAAAAGCGTTCAAAACCAAGACACTTAAGAGTGTCAGGTAATCTTGATGATATGTCTTCTGTACTTACGTTCATGGCCAAATTCTGGGATTTTTCCACATTAAGAGAAAAAAATCAAATTTTAGAATTAATTCCTATTTAATTTTAAATATTCAAAAATATTCAAAGCATATGTGAATGCATTAAGACCAAGGTAACATTTACAATGCTGAGGGAGTGGTGAGTACGAATTAATGAAGGAAAGTACGGCTAAAATTAAAGTCCTCCTTAACAGGCACATTGGTAGAAGTAATTTTAACTTAGTATAAAGGCTGTCATTAATGGATAGTGTATTGGGCTCAGTCAGGAAGACTTGGTTCAAAGTTTCTGCCATTTACTACCTAGGTGATTTTTTCATTGAACCTCTTTGTACCTTAAGTAGGTCATTAGGAGTTTTCTAATAAGTCACAAACTTGTTTTCCTTTTAAGTTTTGTTAGTATCTTCTGCTTTTACATCATACTGATTTATCAATATACCTCCCTCCTCACCTGCTCAGGAAGCTTTGCCTTGTAATGAAAAAACAAACAGCTTTTAAGTTCAAGAAAACCCAACCAATTCATCAACTATATCTGACCTCACACATAACATTCCACCAAAGAAGGGAACAAGCACTTATGAAGTTTCTACTGTGTGTCAGGAACTGTGCAAAGAACTTTGCCAATATCATCACAACTATGGTTCTCAAAAGGAAGGTCATTTTCTCATCTCTTATGAACCATGCTTGGTTATTAAAATTCAAGAATATTTAGTTTCATTTAAGTTGTCTTGGTTAAGTATATTGTTTTCTAGTTCTGCTTACTTTACTTTGCATTAGTTCATATAAATCTTCCTATGCTTCTCTGAATTCCTCATATAAATTTCTTTTTCATTATATCCATGTGGCACAGATTGCTTAAACATTCTCAGGTTGATGGGCATGCACTTTGTTTCTACTTCTTTGTTAAAACCAAAAATCACATTGTGAATGTTTTGTTATATGTGAGATCTAAGTCAAAGTTATAAACATTTTAGTCGCTTTTTTTTGCATTATTCCAAATTGTTTTCCAGAATAGTTGGACCAATTCAGAACTCCACTAATAGTGGATCAACATGCTCATTTTCTTCTGACCTCCCCTTCTCATCTTTTGTCATCTTTGAAAATTTTCTCAGTGTGAGGAGAAAACTAAGAGTTGTTTTGATTTGCATTCCTCTCATTAGTGCATTAAAAGTAACCTTTATATGATCGTTAATAGTTTGCAATTCTTCTTTAGAAAACCCTTTATTCATTTCCTATGAGAACTATTCATTATCTATAAGGAATTTGTTGATTCCCTATATATCTGGGATATTATGAGGGAAAAATAATATGAAGAATTTCCCCTTTAGTACAGTTTCCTTTCTTAGCAGCACTGGTTTTGTTCCTGTTGAATCAATTTCATGTCACTGAAATTTATTTCAATTTGTGTCACATACCTTCTCCCTTGTGACCAAAGAATATTCTGGAGTCAGGAGGACCTGAATTCAAATAGGGCCTCAGACATTTACTAACTGGGTGACCCTGGGCAAGTCACTTAACCCCAATTTCCTCTCAAAAAAAAAAGAAAGGATAATCTCCTTAGCAAGAGTTTAGAAAGATACCTCTACCTATTTTCTTTCCATTTAAAAAATAATAATGTGACATTTTAATGTTTGGATTATGGCTCCATTTTGAGAGTTTTGTAGTATTTGACTTAGGATATTTTTTGTGTTTTGTCCATTCTTCTTCCCGCCCCCCCCACAAGAAGTATCCAGCACTTCTTGAATTCTTCCCCGGAGAGATTGCTTGGGGTTTTATCAACCGTTTGAACACTAGGTCGAATTTTTTTTTCTTCCTTACTTAGTATATTTCACTGATCAACTTTTCTCTTTTTTTATGAACACCAAATAGTTTTTGTGGCTGCAGCATTAAAATATAGTACCCTACATCCATTTGCATTAAAAGATTCTAAACTTCTGGTTCCTCCAAATTAAGTTTGTTATTTTGTCTAGCTTTACAAAGTAACTCATTAATGGTTTAGTACTGCACTAAACCTGTAAATTAATTTTGGTAATATTTTTATTACATTGACATAGTTCAAAAATGGGTAATATATATCCCTATTGATTTTCCATCTCTTTTTTATTTCTGTGAATTATTTTAGAATTGCATTTGTGTAAATCTTCAGTGTATTTTAGTAAGCTGTTGCGCAGATATTTTTGTAGTTATTTTTAATGGGATTTCTCTTTCTATTGTTTCCTTCAATTTTTGTTAGTGCTTTATGTACATTTTGACAACTTTAAGATTTATTTTGTATTTGGTGGAAGCAATGCTTCAGTTAGATTTTTGGTGATTTTCTGGGATTTTCTAAGTAAATACTCATTTCATCTACAAATGGGGATAATTTTGTCTCCTCTTTGCTGATGTTTATGCCATTAGTGTCTTTTTCCTTTCCATTGCTAGTGTTACCAAATCATACTGCACTAAGGGACACTCTTGTTTTGCCCCTATATTTACTGGTAAACTTTCTAATGCTTCTCCTTTGTAAATAAGGCTAGCTTTAGGGTTTTGAGGCAAATGTCTATCATTTTGTGAAATGATCCTTCTTTCTCTATGTTTTAGGGGGGTTAAAAGTTTTTCTGCATCTATTTGTAGCACATGCTCTGGGAATATTATACCAACCCCTACTCACAGACTGGGTCCCCATAGGACAGATGTTATTTCTGCCTTCATAGTTACAGGAGAACCTAAAGATGTGGGGGGTGGGGTAGGGCTGGGTAGGGTGGAGAAGTGTCTATTGCAATAGCTCATTAGTCCCCATAGATGTGATTATCGGCTGAGATAAATTTGCCAGCCAGCTTCTAGAAACAGATATTTACTAAGGTGGTCTAGTAAGAACAGTTGGCACAAATATCCCTATTATTTTAGGGGTACATTCTCCCACAAGTATAGACAGGGTCCAGAGGAAAGTGGGTTCAAACTTAGGTCAAGTAGCAGTCAATGAATTTATCAATAGTTATTTATTAAGCACTTACTATGTGCCAGGCACTGTGATTAGCACTGGGGATGCAAAAAGATGTGAAAAACAGTCCCTGCCCTCTAATGGGGGAGACAGTGTGCAAATAAATATATACAAAGCAAGCTATATATAGGATGAATAGGAAATAAATAAAGGGAAGACACTAGCATTAATAGGTGGATGGGGAAGGCTTCCAGTAAAAGAAGCAAAGAGGGTAACTCACACCTCCCATAAGTCATTTTGCTAGAAACCCTTTTCTTCCCTTCATCAGGCTTTTACCATGTTGCCCTTAGGTATGAGTTCTGAATCTTCCTTTATTCAGTGTGTCTAATTTGTCTTCTTTTCTTGGTTCAGACACTACCACCAGTCACCAACGCTCCAGGCATACTGCTAGTATTCTATGGAAAGTTGACATAGTCTTCCTCTCTGCTCAGAAGGGGAGGGAGAAAAAGAGACAGAAGCTCCCCTTCTCCACCTGCCCTCTCTGGAGCTCAGCTATTCCCTCTCTGGAGCTCAGCTAAAACTATTCTCTCCCCTAATTTCCAAACACTTAATTATTCTCAACACTTGCTATTTTATAGAAGACCCACAGAGAATGACAGGGCATAAATTAGTTTAATGCTTCTGTTTGATTCAATAGAGATGTTGTTACTGGATAGAGATATCAGGACTAGAGTATTTTGTTAGTTTAAGTGGAGTGGGGTAATTGATTGACTGAATTGACCCATGTACACACTTACCTATTGATATATATCAATATATCATGATATAGTCATGTGGTTTATGTTGCATTTTTCATAATTTTTGTGTTGATTTTTAATTTAATGTAATCAAAATTATCCATTTTAATCCCCATGATCCACTCTATCTCATGTTTGATTATTGTATGTTTTTTTAAAAATCCCCTTCGTCTTTTAAATCAACTCTTCATCTCTGCCATTAGTTT